CATGCTGGGGAGAGATAAGGGGAGGGGGGTGTGGAAACTGGTGGGAGGGGGGGTGTGGAAACGGTGGGGAGGGGGTGGGGGTGAAAACTGGTGAGGAGGAGGAGGGGGGTGGGGTGAGAAACTGGTGGGAGGGGGTGAGAAACTGGTGGGGGTGGGGTGAAACGGTGGGAGGGGAGAAACTGGTGGGAAGGGGGTGAGAAACTGGTGGGGGGAGGTGAGAAACTGGTGGGGAGGGGGTGGGGTGAGAGAAACTGGTGGGGAGGAGGTGAAAACTGGTGGGGAGGGGGTGAGAAACTGGTGGGGGGTGGGGGGGTGGGGAAACTGGTGGGGAGGGGTGGGGGGTGGAAACCTGTGGGGGGGTGGGGGGGAAACTGTGAATATGGATAAGGTAAGATAATAGAATGTGAAGATGGGAATGGAAGAATTGATGGAATGAGAAAATAGATCAGGAAGAATGAAGGATTATGGAGATGGAAGAGTGAGAAAATGATGGAATGTGGAGATAGAAGGTGATGGAATGTAATATATAAAAGGAAGAATGAGGGAGATGAAATATAAGCTGAAGAAAATGATTTGTGACCTATAGTGAGGGAGGCGTGATAGTGATGGAAGAATGTGATAAAGAGGCGTGATAGTGATGGAAGAATGTGATAAAGAGGCGTGATAGTGATGGAAGAATGTGATAAAGAGGCGTGATAGTGATGGAGGAACATGATGACAGCGTCATAGTGATGGAGGAACATGATGACAGCGTCATAGTGATGGAGGAACATGATGACAGCGTGATAGTGATGGAGGAACATGATGACAGAGTGATAGTGATGGAGGAACATGATGACAGCGTGATAGTGATGGAGGAACATGATGACAGCGTGATAGTGATGGAGGAACATGATGACAGCGTCATAGTGATGGAGGAACATGATGACAGCGTCATAGTGATGGAGGAACATGATGACAGCGTGATAGTGATGGAGGAACATGATGACAGCGTGATAGTGATGGAGGAACATGATGACAGCGTGATAGTGATGGAGGAACATGATGACAGCGTGATAGTGATGGAGGAACATGATGACAGCGTGATAGTGATGAAGGAACATGATGACAGAGTGATAGTGATGGAGGAACATGATGACAGCGTGATAGCATGAAGGAACATGATGACAGAGTGATAGTGATGGAGGAACATGATGACAGCGTGATAGTGATGAAGGAACATGATGACAGCGTGATAGTGATGGAGGAACATGATGACAGCGTGATAGTGATGGAGGAACATGATGACAGCGTGATAGTGATGAAGGAACATGATGACAGAGTGATAGTGATGGAGGAACATGATGACAGCGTGATAGTGATGGAGGAACATGATGACAGCGTGATAGCGATGGAGGAACATGATGACAGCGTGATAGTGATGGAGGAACATGATGACAGCGTGATAGTGATGGAAGAATGTGATAAAGAAGGCGTGATAGTGATGAGAACATGATGACAGCGTGATAGTGATGGAGGAACATGATGACAGCGTGATAGCGATGGAACGTATTTGAAAATGGTGAAAAATAGTGAGAGACAAACATGATGAAACAAAAAAACAAAACAAAAAACATGATAGAATGGATGAATAACGATAAATAATTGAAGGGATGGTGAAAAAATAGTGAAAGATGGTGAATGTGTTGTGATAAATGATGGAATAATGAAACTTTCAGAAATAATAGATTATAGCCGTAAAAATAGTGAGATATAGTGAGATAGACGAGATAGTGAAGTATAGTGAAGGAGACACGAGATAGTGAGATATGGTGAGACGTGAGATACTGAGATATAGTGAGAGACGAGAGATAGTGAGAGTATGGTGAGAGAGACGAGTGAGTGATGTAGGATGGTGATCGGAACATAATAATCGCCCGATATAGTGAGCGAGGTGTGAGGAGAGGTGATGGTGTATGGTGAAGGTGATATGATAGGAGTCACTGGTGCAATATGAAGATGAGAGAGGAACATGAATCTAGTATGGAAAATGTTGATGGTGATGATGGTGATGATGGTGGTGATGATGGTGATGATGGTGGTGATAATGGTGGTGAAGGTGGTGGTGGTAGTGGTGATAGTGATGATGGTGATAGCGGTGATGATAGTGATGATGATAGTGTGGTGATAGTGATGAAGATAGTGGTGATGATAGTTTGGTGATAATGGTGGTGATGGTGGTGGTGGTCGTGGTGGTGATGGTGGTAGTGATGATGGTGATGGTAGGGACTGTGATAAAGAGAATATTGAAGAAACAATACAATGTGATGACGACAGTCGTAAAATATAGTGAAAATGGTGAGAAATATGATAAAACGAGGCATAAAGAAATGAAAGAAAAGAATATGATAAAAAGTATGAAATCTAGTGACAAAGATGAAATAGTTAATAATAAATCAGGTGGAATACAACTCAATTAACAGAAAACGAAAGGGTAAACTACAGTAAATGTAATATATTAAAAAATTTGTCGCAGCCTCTCTCTGTTTAGCTGTGTTTTATCCTGTGTTGTTTGTGACTGTTTGGTAGACAACATTAGACTCTCTCTCTCTCTCTCTCTCTCTCTCTCTCTCTCTCTCTCTCTCTCTCTCTCTCTCTCTCTCTCTCTCTCTCTCTCTCTCTCTCTCTCTCTCTCTCTCTCTCTCTCTCTCTCTCTCTCTCTCTCTCTCTCTCTCTCTCTCTCTCTCTCTCTCTCTCTCTCTCTCTCTCTCCCTCTCTCCCTCTCCCTGACACAAGACACAGCCATTCACATGAAACATTCGCCACTACGTCAGCCAGCCCCCTAACTTGCAGTGGCGTTCACTTTGAGAATTTCTCGCTAATTCTGATTTAGGTGTCGTAATTTTAAATTACTCATCGTAACCCTGATTTAGTTATCGTAACTCGGGTAGGAGGGAAGTTCTTCACACGTTCAGGCGTTTTAAATTCCTGTGAGTGTGATTCGAAATTTCTTATGTATTTTTGAGGCGATTTTAGGGGATTCGAGTCTTTTTGCTGGTTCAATATCTCTGTGGTCTTTGAATATGTGTTTCGGAGTCTCATTTGGATGTTCGAAATGTCTGTATTTTTTTAAGTGATTTTAGGTGATTCGAACCTGCTATAAAGAGACGTTTTAAGAGTAGAAAGTATTGAGATAATATTTAGTAGGAGAGGGTGTAAAGAGAAGAAGAGTTTGGTAGTGTGGCCAGTTAGTTATTTACACTGTCAATACACTTCTCTTATCTTATACGTCAATACACATCTATTACGTTTTTAAGGACGACTTCTCAAACACCGCTTCGTTACAACTGTTTATTAATTACGACAATGGAATGGACACATTAATAACACCTTCTATCGAAGTTACTAGGACATTATATTTACATTACTAGGACATTATATTACGTTACTTGACACTGATTCTCGGACACAACATGAAATGAATACACTTCCCACGTAAGTAACTCATCCTATGAATAGCTCTGACAAAAACTCACGTGACCTGGGGGAGGTCTAGCGGGTGATTCTGGGCTGTCTCTATGGGTGACAACTGGTGTCGGGAGGGAGACTTACCCCCCCGACAAGAGGGAGGGCTTGCGTGAGTCTGCCTCCTAGGCTGTGGTGGACTTCCTCCTGTGTGTCTCTCTGTCTTCACCGTGAGGGAGGGCTACGACGTCCTATATATTAGGAGAAGAGCCGGTAGATGTTCAGGCGGCGGTGAAGAGTCCCCTTACATTTGACCTCGCTAATGTAGGGTCAGGTCTGGACTTTTTCTGATAAACGTCCATTTAACGGACTTCTGTCTCCATGTAATCCTTTAGATGGAGGTTTTACATATAACTCACCCTCGATATAACGGACTTTGATATCTATATAGTTCGTTAGATGGAGGTTTCATATCTAACAGACCCTCGATATAACGGACGTCCCTCTCCATATAGTCCGTTAAATAGAGGTAATATTAGGGAAGGTTTTCAGACTTGTCGATAAATCAGTTACTGTAATATTCCTGTAACCCGGAAATACTAAACAAAATATCAGCATCAAGTACTGGCTATCGCTATTAACTATTCATCATTAACAAATTCATCCGGAAGGTTAAACTCACTAACCCAATCTTCCTCACTCGAGCAATATTTATTTTTAATTAATCTTTCCCCCGAAAAAATACAAAAATACATCGGTTTCCATTATAAATTTTTTGTTGATATAATTTATTATTTAATTTGTTCAGCACAATTTATTTATTTTTCTCATATTTATGTTTTTGTTTGTTTTTGTTTTTAAGGAGGTAGGTAGACAATATAGGTAGGGGGGTAGACAGTGTAGGTAGGGGGTAGACAATGTAGGTAGGGGGTAGACAGTGTAGGTAGGGGTAGACAGTGTAGGTAGAGGGGGTAGACAGTGTAGGTAGGGGGTGAACAGTGTGGGTAGGGGTAGACAATGTAGGTGGGGGTAGACAATATAGGTGGGGGGAGTAGACAATGTAGGTAGGGGTAGACAGTGTAGGTAGGGAATTGGGCAGTGTAGGTAGGGGGTAGACAATATAGGTAGGGGTGAGCAATGTAGGTAGGGGTAAACAGTGTGGGTATGGGGGTAGACAGTATAGGTGAGGGGTAGACAATGTAGGTAGGGGGTGGGCAATTGTAGGTAGGGGTAGACAGTGTAGGTAGGGGGTGGAGCAGTGTAGGTAGAGGGGGGTCAGACAGTGTGAGTAGGGGTAGACAATATAGGTGGGGGAGTAGACAATGTAGGTAGGGGAATTGGGCAATTGTGGGTAGGGGGTAGAAAGTGTAGGTGGGGGTAGACAATATAGGTGGGGGGTGAACAATGTAGAGTAGGGGGTAGACAGTGTAGGTAGGGGGTAGACAGTGTAGGTAGGGGTAGACAATATAGGTAGGGGTAGACAATGTAGGTAGGGGGTAGACAGTGTAGGTATGGGGGTAGACAATATAGGTAGGGGTGGGCAATGTAGGTGAGGG